GGGATATTTAACCTGTCTAACTTGGTGGCCTGAAGATACCATATTGCAGAGGGCGAACCTTCTGCTACTCGCTGGTGTAGACGGGCTTTGTTGAGGTGTGAGAGTTTTTTGGTGATGGTGGTTTTTATGTACTCTAGGTTTCTTGAGATTATCTTGAGATGATTTCGGGGCCTTTTTTAGTGTCCCCGCGGCCCGGTCCTCGACCAGGCCTCCACTCCCAGGAAGCAGCCCGTGACAGCTGACTAACACCCAGGTACCTATTTTACTGCTAGGTAACAGGGGCATAGGGTGAAAGAAACTCTGCCCATTGTTTCTCGCCGGCGCCCGGGATCGACCCCAGGACCACAGGATCACAAGTCCCGCGTGCTGTCCGCTCGGCCGACCGGCTCCCTGGGTGGTGTTGAGTCCTTTGTCTTTAGCTACTGTTCCTAGATACAAAATTGTGGTAATTATTTCCACGTTGTCTTTCCACTGTTTTTGTCCTAATATTTCAAGTGCAGCTTTTGAGTCTGTGTATGACTGCATTTTGCCCTGCCACCAGTCATATACAAATAGCCATGTCTACAACTGGCACTAGAATGTCAGTCAGGTGTGAGGACACGTGGCACTGGCAGGTATCCCAGCTAACCACCTCGCTCACACACCTGTGGCCCACTTCCAGGGCTCTTCTACTCTCCACTGGCCAGTCTCTCATAGTAAGTCTTTATGTAGACTTGTAGACCTCTTATACCTTGATCATACACCCTGTCCTCCCTATACCCTGTCCCCCTTACACCCTGTCCTCGCTATACCCTGTTCCCCTTACACCCTGTCCTCGCTATACCCTGTCCCCCTTACACCCTGTCCTCCCTATACCCTGTCCCCCTTACACCCTGTCCTCGCTACACCCTGTCCTCGCTATACCCTGTCCCCCTTACACCCTGTCCTCGCTATACCCTGTCCCCCTTACACCCTGTCCTCGCTATACCCTGTCCTCGCTACACCCTGTCCTCCCTATACCCTGTCCCCCTTACACCCTGTCCTCGCTATACCCTGTCCTCGCTACACCCTGTCCTCGCTATACCCTGTCCTCGCTACACCCTGTCCTCGCTATACCCTGTCCTCGCTACACCCTGTCCTCCCTGGTAATGGGAGATCTACTGGTGCTGGGCTACTCTTGCTCAACGCACCACATTTGTCATGTTCTCGACCTCCAACGTAAACAAATGCGGTGGTTTAGGGGAATAAAAATCATCGCAATAATGACGTTGTTGTTTCAGATTTAGCTACTCAGAACGAAGTGTCCATGTAGCACGGTCTATGGTGAGCCCGTAGCAATAATGACGCTTTCTGGTACTAATGAATAAGGCCTCCAGTATGTCAGATGTGGGGGGGGGGATGTATAGGTTCTGACACCTCTGGCTAGGCCAAACCGCTGCATTTGTTACGGAGATCAAATTTCTATGGAAGTCTTAATTAAAATTGGAAAAAAATCGTATATAAAATAATGGAAAGTTTTATCATTCCATAAGATTTTTTGAAATAATTTCAGGAAATTTATTTTAATTTTAATTTCAGGAAAACTCAGCTTGTTAAGCAACTTGGTCAATTAGGTACGACATATGTTGAAACGTGTTGAAACACACATGACACGTGTTGAAACACACACATGACACGTGTTGAAACACACACATGACACGTGTTGAAACACACATGACACGTGTTGAAACACACACATGAAACGTGTTGAAACACACACATGACACGTGTTGAAACACACACATGAAACGTGTTGAAACACACACATGACACGTGTTGAAACACACACATGACACGTGTTGAAACACACATGACACGTGTTGAAACACACATGACACGTGTTGAAACACACACATGACACGTGTTGAAACACACACATGACACGTGTTGAAACACACACATGACACGTGTTGAAACACACACATGACACGTGTTGAAACACACATGACACGTGTTGAAACACACACATGACACGTGTTGAAACACACACATGACACGTGTTGAAACACACACATGACACGTGTTGAAACACACACATGACACGTGTTCAAACACACACATGATACGTGTTCAAACACACACATGACACGTGTTGAAACACACATGACACGTGTTGAAACACACACATGACACGTGTTGAAACACACACATGACACGTGTTCAAACACACATGACACGTGTTCAAACACACACATGACACGTGTTGAAACACACACATGACACGTGTTGAAACACACACATGACACGTGTTGAAACACACACATGACACGTGTTGAAACACACACATGACACGTGTTGAAACACACACATGACACGTGTTGAAACACACACATGACACGTGTTCAAACACACACATGACACGTGTTGAAACACGAAAACGTTCGGAATTTTGGAATTTTCATTTCGTTTTCGGTGTCTGATCGTGAAGAAAAAGAGACAGGAAATGGTTTGATATGTCGTAAATCGTAAGACTGCAAATCTTACGTAAATCTTATGTAAGATTTACATAAATCGTAATCCGTAATTGGTAAGATTGCAAGACATAAAGTTAACAACATCATCAAGAGGAGCCTCGCCACACCCCGCTGCCCAGCACAAAGAGAACCCCACTTATTCAGACCCAACGGACCTCAGACGCATCCAGACAGGGTCACCTTGCTACCTTGGAAGGATGGTAAGCAAGTGGTGTGGGACTACACGTGCGCTGCCACACTGGCCAGTACCTACCTCCACCACAGCACACGCAAAGCATGCGGCATTCCTTCTTTCGGGTAAACGCAGAAAGCCACGCACACTGCAACAGTTTTGTTCCGATCGGTTCGCAGACCCTCGGTTCGTGTGGAAAATGTGCATTGAAGTTCCTAAATGAATTGGGCGACAAATTGATCACTGTTACAAAAAACAAAAAAGCGAAAAGCTTCTTATTTCAGCGCCTCAGTGCCGCTATTCAGAGGGGAAATGCCTGCTGCATCTTATCTTAAGATCATGAGGTTATCTTGATATGATTTCGGGGCTTAGCAAAAGGCCTCCTTTTTGTTACACACCCCCAGGAAGCAGCCTGTAGCAGCTGTCTAACTCCCAGGTACCTATTTAGTACTAGGTGAACAGGGGCATCAGAGTGAAAGAAACTGCCCATTTGCTTCCGCCTCCACCGGGGATCGAACCCGGAACCTTAGGACTATGAATCCCGCGTGCTGTCCACTCAGCTGTCAGGCTCCCTTTGGGCATCTTGGGCATGAGTCCAACCTCAGAGGAATTCAAAGAGGTGTTTGACTTGCAGCATTGATCAAACCTGTCTGACATTTATTGATGTAGGCCGTTGGTGTGTTTTTCATTTAACTTGTAATGGTCGTGTTGTGTACGTGTTGATGCAACATTTTTGTAATCATGTACATTAAATTGTGAGTGTGTGTAAATCATCAAGAGGAGCCTTGCCTCAGAGCAGTGCCCAGCAGAGAGAGAACCTCGCATCCCAACGTCCCAAAACCCGCCTAAACTTGCGAAGTGAGGGGAAAAAGAAAGAAAGAAAGAAAGAAAGAGAGAGAGAGTGTGTATTTGTATTTGTGTGTGTACTCACCTAGTTGTGTTTGCGGGGGTTGAGCTCTGGCTCTTTGGTCCCGCCTCTCAACCGTCAATCAACAGGTGTACAGATTCCTGAGCCTATCGGGCTCTGTCATATCTACACTTGAAACTGTGTATGGAGTCAGCCTCCACCACATCACCCCCTAATGCATTCCATTTGTCAACCACTCTGACACTAAAAAAGTTCTTTCTAATATCTCTGTGGCTCATTTGGGCACTCAGTTTCCACCTGTGTCCCCTTGTGCGTGTTCCCCTTGTGTTAAATAGACTGTCTTTATCTACCCTATCAATTCCCTTCAGAATCTTGAATGTGGTGATCATGTCCCCCCTAACTCTTCTGTCTTCCAGCGAGGTGAGGTTTAATTCCCGTAGTCTCTCCTCGTAGCTCATACCTCTCAGCTCGGGTACTAGTCTGGTGGCAAACCTTTGAACCTTTTCCAGTTTAGTCTTATCCTTGACTAGATATGGACTCCATGCTGGGGCTGCATACTCCAGGATTGGCCTGACATATGTGGTATACAAAGTTCGGAATGATTCTTTACACAAGTTTCTGAATGCCGTTCGTATGTTGGCCAGCCTGGCATATGCCGCTGATGTTATCCGCTTGATATGTGCTGCAGGAGACAGGTCTGGCGTGATATCAACCCCCAAGTCTTTTTCCTTCTCTGACTCCTGAAGAATTTCCTCTCCCAGATGATACCTTGTATCTGGCCTCCTGCTCCCTACACCTATCTTCATTACATTACATTTGGTTGGGTTAAACTCTAACAACCATTTGTTCGACCATTCCTTCAGCTTGTCTAGGTCTTCTTGAAGCCTCAAACAGTCCTCTTCTGTTTTAATCCTTCTCATAATTTTAGCATCGTCCGCAAACATTGAGAGAAATGAATCGATACCCTCCGGGAGATCATTTACATATATCAGAAACAAGATAGGACCGAGTACAGAGCCCTGTGGGACTCCACTGGTGACTTCACCAGTGTGTGTGTGTGTGTGTGTGTGTGTGTGTGTGTGTGTGTTGTGTGTGTGTAACACATCACAGTCATTGACCCCCCCCCCACACTCACCAGGTAATAAGGGGCGTACACCACCCACGCCCTCGGTATTCAACATGACAAATTAACCATCATTAACATACTACACACACGTCCTGTGTTAACATGTGGGTGTCCTCGCCTGGGGTCTACCTACCCTCCCCTAGTCTCTTGGCAGACCCAGGAGTGAGCAGGACGGTCCTACAGTAGGGGGCAGAGAGAGA